AACAGGTACTTTTTTCAAGTTTTAAATCCAACGATCATTATCTTTCGACAAAATCAGACCATTACCCAAACACTTGCCAAGTGGTGCATGTTTATTGTACACTGTGTTACATGTAACGTTTTCCTCGACCTTTTATGGGATAAGAGCGTGATTAAATGATTATTTGTATATTGTTTGAAGTATGTCGTTATTCATAAATGACACAGCGCGCGTGCCTGCATATCTACAGAGTTGGTGTCTCGATCGCACGTGCGCACGCGCATCTATATGAGTTCTAAGCATTCCAAGGTCTTACTCGATTGTAATCTTTAGATTTAACCGTGTATCAAGCAGAAAATGTTGAAAATAGAAAATTTTGACGGCCAAAGCCATTTTGACCGCCTAACTTTCTAGCTAGCCGTAGTTTACGACATCTTAGCAATATTTTTTAAATTCTTTTTAAGTAGTGTTTATCGTTTTGAACATGTCAACCCCATCCTACCATACTAACATATTAAATCTAAACAAAGGGTTTAGCCGGATACGTATGACGAGTCGGCCCCCAAATGGGAATCGATATTGAAACTTATGTTTTAATATCGACTTGATGTTCAAACACGATTTATGTACTTTTCGCGACCGACTTCCGCTTTGACCTTGAGATAGAGAGCAAAATATCCGTATGCTTGACTATTACTGAATGTGATATATCTCTAAAGCTAATTAAGATAAAGAAGTGAAACTAACGCGAGGTATCAGGTTACATTACAGAGTATATCATATATATTTTTTTATAATTTTTAGAATAAAAAATTACATTAAAAAAATAAAAATAAAAAAAAACATGTTTTTTTTTCTGAGTTCTCTGTGACTTACAATCACGAAATTAATATATGTTATGCTCCTTTGTGTGCTCTATTACCCATAAAAATTGCGTGAAAAAAAAGTTGGTGCAACACAACGAAAAAAAATTATATGTGATTTCTGTCTTATGGTATACCCCTGTATTATAAGGTTTTCACATTACATCATTGTTTTTTTTTTTCGAAATTTCACATCAGCTTGTTTTAAAACATAAGTAACTAGTCTTAAGAGATGGGATAATAGTTAAAAAAGAAATGAAAAAAAAACAGCCAGTGTTCAATACTTATTATTATTACTTTTTCGTGTCTATCAAAATACAAGAAACAAAATATTAATCATCGTCACTGTTGTAATTAATTACAATCGGAACACTTTGAGTCGCAAATAACTTAGTTAGGACCTCAGCAGGACGTACGATTTTGGACAAATATCATCCATATGATAGATAATAAATAATAGCTGCTACATGAGAACAGCATCCCACTGTACGTTTGCCATTGGGGCAAGCACAGCAATAACGAAGAATACTATTGTAGTCATTACTTTCGGAAATATAGTGAATGTAAATTCGATAGACTTTTCTATTTATATGTCTTGATTTCACTTCTGCTTTGATGATATTAGGTGCTGATTTCACATATTGTACTGAGAGATTATTTTGATCGTCCATTATTTCGGCCAAGTTAAATGCTGCACATTTAGAAGTAGAAGCTTTTTTGTTAATATATGGGATAAGTCGACACTTCTCACAAAAAATATCATTAACTATTACAATTTTATTCAAACAGTCACTAAACACTTTAGCTTCTTCTTCATTATTTATAATTTTTTTATAACCAGGAATCTTACACAGGTACTTGTTACAATTTTTACACTTTTTCGACATTATTACTTAATAATGATTTGGTTCGATAGTTAATAATTTCAAAATGCTGATACAAAATACCTATGACAGAATTTGAGTCCCAAACTGCCTTCTTGTTTAATACAAATGACTGCTACTTTAGCTAAACAAACGATGCAGTAAACGGCTCGATAACAAGTTCGAACTTGTTTGTTTATACACTCACACTACAAGGCGCGAATCACATATAATTTTTTTTCGTTGTGTTGCACCAACTTTTTTTTCACGCAATTTTTATGGGTGATAGAGCACACAAAGGAGCATAACATATATTAATTTCGTGATTGTAAGTCACAGAGAACTCAGAAAAAAAAACATGTTTTTTTTTTATTTTTATTTTTTAATGTAATTTTTTATTCTAAAAATTATAAAAAAATATATGTGATATACTCTGTAATGTAACCTAACACCTCGCGTTAGTTTCACTTCTTTATCTTAATTAGCTTCAGAGATATATCACATTCAGTAATAGTCAAGCATACGGATATTTTGCTCTCTATCTCAAGGTCAAAGCGGAAGTCGGTCGCGAAAAGTACATAAATCGTGTTTGAACATCAAGTCGATATTAAAACATAAGTTTCAATATCGATTCCCATTTGGGGGCCGACTCGTCATACGTATCCGGCTAAACCCTTTTATGACGATATGTCACAAGACAACGTTTTAGTGAGGTTATGATGATATTTCATTTCATTGCGTTGACTTTTCTGTTGGTGGATAAATGGTTAACTGCCAATTGCATAAATGTCATTAGTTTACGAGGGTCAAACTGAAAGTTCTTAGAACTGGCCACTTATAAACAATATAATAAAAAAATAATTCTAAAATTTGAAAATATAACTCTTTGCCAATATTACTGAGTATATATTTCATTCATTTGTCATTTGTTTTACGATTTGGCGGCAAATTGAAAATTGTCTGTGTCACGTCATCATGAATTTAACACGAGAAAATTTTCGTGCAATGATTTTTTATGACTTTCGATGTCATTTAAGTCAACAAGAAAGTTATGATAGACTACGATTGGCCTTTCACGATGAAGCCCCATCTCGTGCGACTGTTTACAACTGGTTTAATGAGTTTAAACGTGGTCGCACTAATCTCACTGATGATTTACGTGAGGGACGGCCTTCTACGGCGACGACTGAAGATAACATCTGTGTTGTGCGGCGTATGATAGAGACTGACAAAAGAGTGACCTATCAACAGATTCGGACAAGCTTAGGCATCGGTATGAGTCAAGTGCACAAAATCCTCCACGAACATTTAGCGGTCAGGAAGCTTTGCGCCCGGTGGATACCTCATAATTTGACTGAGGCTCAAAAACTCCATCGTGTGGATTGGTGTCGTAAAATGATTGAAAGATTTAACGGAGGTGACTCAAATGCTGTGTTCGACATACTAACAGGTGACGAAAGCTGGATTTACTGTTATGATCCTAAAACCAAAAGACAATCTGCTCAGTGGGTGTTTCCTTTCGAGGAGTTGCCAACTAAAGTGAAGAGAGATCGAAGTGCGGGAAAAAAAATGGTGGCCTCGTTCTTTGGAAGGATAGGTCATTTTGCAACAATTGTATTAGAGGATCAAAAAACAGTTTCTGCAGAATGGTACACTACCAATTGTTTGCCACTTGTCTTGGAAAAAGTTCGAGAGAAACGACCTCGCAGTAGGATCCTCCTTCACCACGACAACGCCTCGTCGCACACCGCCAAGCGAACGATCGACTATTTGGCGACATCAAACGTTGAATTACTGGGTCACCCGCCGTATAGCCCCGACCTCGCGCCTTGTGATTTTTATTTATTTCCAAAAATTAAAGAAAAACTTAAAGGAAAGCGGTTTATGAATGCTGAAGAAGCGGTGGCTGCGTATCGCGATACCATTGAAGAGACCCCTAAGGACGAGTGGGCAAAGTGCTTTTCCCAGTGGTTCCATCGCATGCAGCGGTGTATTGACGTGAATGGACAATATTTTGAAAAGATATAATAAAACTAATAACTGGCTAATGTAATCAGTTTTTGATTTTCTAAGAACTTTCAGTTTGACCCTCGTACCACATGCCACATTACCAGATAAATTCTCAAATTTAGAACATTCATTAGCGCTTAAAGTAGTTATTAAACTGTAATGGATTGGTAATATTAAAGTCGATAATCACCTTTACCAAAGACGTAAAAATGATAATGAATGGCATTATCATTTGTACGTCGTTGGTAAAGTACACATCAAAGTAGTAAAGTAAAACGAATTATTACCATAACATAGCTAAGGTGCCGTATCATTTGGCTAAACTGGCTGGAGTTATGGCATTGCAGGAACTACTATTTTCGTTACCAGTTTTGCTATTCTGTAATAAAATCAGATTTAAACTCGATGTCCAGCACAGTGCTGTAACACCATAGTTGTTCAATTAAATAAACCCTTTATTACTTTTTCAAGGAACGCTTTATTTGATTGAATCTCTATGTTATGGAGGCGTCAATGTCGATTTTGAGTCAAAATCGAATTTCTTACAGAATAGCACAGCGGGTTAACTTACTTAAACACTCAATAAAATATGCTTGCTCGCTAGTATCGAAAATAACTTTAACAAGTTTGTACTCGAGAAATTCATTACGTATTCGCCCAAGATAATGTTGCCATCTTCTAAAAAAAAGCTGGGCCAATGTGTACATTCAGTCTTGTCTAATTTGCAATTCCTTTTAAAGGTTTAGCGTATGTGATAGCGATTTAATGGTGTTATGTAATTTTAAATATCGAAATCGCTTTCAAAACTAAATGTGATTTGAATGATCATGAAACATAATAAAAACTAAGTTACCTAAACTTAAAGTAATATTTGCGTTTAACGGTTACCTTAGACAATTCCAATTACCGTCAAATTAACGATATCGTTCATTCATTCAATTTAAAAAAAAAACGTCTCGATCGCAAACACTACCACATGTCAAACAGTTGTGCGTACGTGAATATCTTTCAAATTCAAATTAAAAGGGATTGTAATAGATTTTAAAATAAGACAAATTATTGTTTAGTCTGACACGACTTACAAAAACAAATATCCCTATCCTCATTGAGACGAACAGTCGATAGATCTGTCAAAGGAAGTCGATTCGCCTCCAGCTTGGATATCTGAGATAACTGACTGCCTCATTTTGTGAAGTAAAAATTATTTCTAAGAAATAAATGAATAAGGTTTAAAGTAGAACGGAAATATCATTAACCAAAAATAATAAGTTACTTTTTGTTTTAGTGGATAACCCCCGAGGAGAGTGCTGTGTACTGTCGCGAACAGAGGCCTCCATTGGTAATACCACGCATCACGCAGTATCGCGCGCCGCGTAGAGAGGCGAAGGCATACCAACACTCATACCAAGAGGTAAGTAGTAAGTTTCATTCTAGAATACCTCTATCAGCGTAGTTGGGATATCTCGGGAACACACAATTCCATTGACTATACGCGGTTCTTTGTATGAGCAGAAATAAAAGTTAATATAGATTCTGAAATTAATTTAAAAAAAGTGATTTAGGTTGTGTTGCACAATTGCAAATATATTTTTTTTAAATCAAACGGTTTAAACCAAAGGAACTCATTCTCATTACTCTTTTATAATTATATAGGAAACAAAATATTAGTAAACGACCGCATTAGCATACAGTGACAAAACAACCAGGCCGCATGACTCAGACACCATGTCTGGCCGTTTGGATGCGATTACTCCATGTTGTTAATTAATTATTTATTCGCGTCCCGGTCAGTGTTGCTATGGTTGAAAATTAAATTACCCATTTGCTCATATTCGTAATATTATTTACAGCAACGCTAACCGTAATATTTTTTATGAAATACGTTCATACAGTCCACGAAATTTGAGCAAATATGCACTTAAGATGCTCTTTTTAGGCAAAAAATAATCCTCTCAAGATCTGTAATCATTAATTTCGTAATTTTTGCACCTTTGAAGACTGCCAGAAATTGCTTTTTTTCTAAAATATGGCCGTCAATGGTAGTGTGTTTTTTTCTCAGTTATACTTTATCTAATATATTGCTAAATTTATAGAAATTTGCTTGTTTATACAATATAAAAAAACCAGCATTTCTTCATTCGATTTTAAACCTTAATGTGTTTGTAATAAAGTTAAAATAAATTGCAGCAATTTTATCTCATATTATTATGCTGCTATGTATACAATGATATAAATAGTATTTCGTTATTTCATTCAGTGGGGAAATGTGTTTGCAAATGAAATACTAATCTCAAATAATTTTGCAAGAAGAAATAAAGTCCAAATGATCTGTAATTAAAAATGATAAAATTGAATCATGTGATCTGAATTAATAACGTTTTTTCGGAGATTATTTTAAAAATCAAGATTTAGAATATTTATACTTTTTATTATAGGTAAAATTGATAAATATGTGTATCACATTATTACCGAGTGTTGTGATTGAAAATATTTTTCATATAATTGTAATAGTATGCCAGTATTACAAACCATCAGAAAGATACATTATATAAACTATATTTATATTTTAATAACACTTAATTTATTGAGGAGTTTATAATTTATGTTTTTTTCCTTAATAGTTGGGAAAATTAGTCCACATGGTAACTCTAATTGCAGAGTAATATGGCGTCGACTTGTGAGGCCAATACCGCACATCCGGTGCCATCAACATTATAATCGATTGAATAAATTATTGTATTGTTGACGGTAGATGTCACTGAATATTTATAACTCTTATTCGTACCCGTTTAAAAAAAATCCCAAAAAGCCCGGCAATTTAAAAAAACATGGGGTTTGCTTGAAATTACTTGGTAATTAAATTTTATTAATATCTTTTATATGCATATTTTGTCACAGTATTTAATAATGCATTTTTGTGTTTTTCATGTAATTTCTAGTTTTAATAAAATATATTTACTTAAATTAAATAAAGGCCTGTATTATACATAAAAGTATATATTTAATGCATAAAACGAGTGGTCTTGTATCTAACATAAAAACCTTCCTTTGAATCCATCCACGGCAATTACCCTATCTATGAAAAAAAAACCGCATCAAAATCCGTTGCGTAGTTTTAAAGACTTAACCATACATGGGGATATAGGAACAGAGAAAGCAACTTTGTTTTATACTATGTAGTGATTGATGTATTTGTAGTAACAGTTCCAGGAACTTACTCAAAAGTTAATTTCAAACAGTTTCGCGCAGTTTTTTATGTAACATAATGTTCATACATTTATTCATTTCAAATGTTTTGATAGAGTTGATTTAGCATTTCGAAATTATATGAAATAGACACCTAGTTTTTGCCCACGACTTTGTCCGCGTGGAATAGCTTAGAATTGAGAATCAATGTCAAAAACGCTAAAACAAGTATAATCTAAATATAAGGTATGAAGTGCTAAAATATTAAAGTTCCAACTTTTTAGTTTGGCAATAACGAACTTTAAATACAAGTTCCATAGCATTTTTCAGATGCTTTTTTCGCGATAAAAGATAACCCTTCCCAAAGTCAACTCATTGGAACCGGTTCCGTGGTTTAGGCGTGAAAATATTACAGACAAATTCTCTTTCGTATTTAAAATATTAGGGATTAGCCAACGACTTTAATCACTAATCCGAGATGTTCAGAAAACAATAGAACCTTTTAGAAATATAAAAACAAAACAAAATTGTAATTTATATAATTGTATTTATGCGCTACTGATTAATTCACCTAAAACCATTTTCCTTGTAAGTTAATTAGTTCATATAGGTACTTAGTACTTTGTTAGTGTGATGATTTTGTAATCTTTAGCCCCGGACAATCTAGTACCAGAATACTTACTTTTTTAAAGGACTTACTTTTTTTGGACATTATACTATAGATTATGAGGCAATTTTAGTAGCACGAACCTGACTAAATATTTATATCAAAAATACTTAAAAAAATCCGTCCGGACAGCGAAGTGTTGTCAGTATGAGTCCGGCCCTTCTGGCATCTGAGACAGTTTCTTTTTCAAGTATTCTGCAAGAGGAACTACTGCTGCTACTACCATGCTGAAGTTAAGTAACTTTCGCAAGGGTCAGTCATAGAATGGGTGACCAAAAATTTACTTTCCCGCTTTTCACACAGGCCCTGTCTGATACCAGTGCTGCTGCGACGTTATAGTGTTAAGAAAAAATTGCTTATGTTTCATGTAATCAAACTATAAGCCACCATAGTTTGATGGTAACGCTTCAGATAACACTTGATTACTTATTTCGGATACGTGATACTTTTGAAGATTTAATTTAGTAATAATTCATGCATACTATTGATTAAAATGTTATTTTTTTCAAGCCGCTATTTCGAAAAAGAAAGTAAAAGTGAGTCAATGACAACTTTATACTCCTCCCATTGCAGTAACTTGCAGCTCAGAGTGAACTTAATTTTCGTGTGTAGGTAATGCATCTATTTAGAGGGTAGTGACGTAGTTAGCAACGGAGTAAGGGATATTGTGTCAGTTAACTTTAACTTTCCACTCAATCTCGCCTGTTCTCATACCGCCATCTTTAGCTGTATGTTTTTTGCCATCGCGTGTCACTAAAATTTTAGGTGTCACATACCAAATAGGTGAGGCCTGATATCATGGTTATTTCCAGGGTCTCACTCGATGAAGACCACGTTAAATAGATATCATGGTAATTCCGCTACGATTTCCAGAGTATCGTTCCCTAAAGAAAGGTTTTACCTTGGAGTTTTTAGTGGGCAGATCTCTGACGAATCACCAAGCTCCATGCAGGACATACACACATGACCGACTCTAAATATGCGTAACGTGTTTTCCTACGCAATAAATGGCTTTTGATTTGATATGCAACCCTCTTTTCCTTATTACACTGCTTCATTGCATTTATAATAAAACGTGAAATATTCCTTTTCATAAGGACATTTGCCTACCTTTTTACTTTTTCCAATTACAATAATTTATATTTTTTTCTTATTGATATAAAGATAATGAATGTTTCACCGTAGGAATTCCTATAATCATCTCGATCACAAAAAATGCAATGTACAGTCAACAGCACGTCAGTGTATACAAAAACGTCAAATTTCTCCACTTGATATTTGTGGCTTTTTAAGAGTTCAAATGCAACGGTGGATAATTGACATATTATGGTAACCCAACGTGCTTATCAGTGTACCTGCTTTATAATAATCGGCATCAAATCGCAATCAATTTTTAACAAATGTCGTGTAATTGTAACCATTTACAAGAAACCATTATGATTTAATAAACTATCCCTTCCTAAGAAACAACTTCATTTATTGGTAAAAGTCGTGTATTCATTTGTTTTTGTGTTTAAAGAGATGTGAGGCATGGTGAAGATGCACTTTTTCAGTGATTAGCAGGAAAACTAGCACGTTTAAACTCGTTACTCTGAAAAAGCCCTTAAATGGAACAAATTTAGGTACATATTTTATAAATACAGTTACTGCTTAAGTTATTATAGCTATGTGTTTTGTTTTTACTTCGGGCTTGTCCCATGAGAATTTTTAAACAGAATAAAAGTAGTTACATCACTCATGACCTCCGACTTCTTCATATACTAAAATTTAGTGAATCTTTCTTTCTGTTTTAATGTAAAAAATGGCCAAATCTGTCACACGCAACGATGGCTCCATAAAAATATATTTTGAATTAAAATGTTTGTATATATAAGATAAGGAATAATTTGCTGTAATTATTCTGATTTTTTTTTTCACTAAAATGCTTACAAACGTCTCATCAAAGATCGTAAACCTGAAGGTCAAAAGTTTGTTTGTCACCTTTTTTACATTCTTATTATCTACAAGTCTACTCAAAGATTTTTTATATAAAAAATATATATAAGAAATATACGAAGCAAAGCAAAACACTCAGTCAATTTCGGAGCCATTCAGTTGAGACATATGGAGATAGAATAGCGAATAATTCCTTGGTGTCCTATATGTTCCTAAAAGTTATAAATAAAAAAACAATATCAATAACATAAAATAGTTTGAGTTTGAAGAAGTGAAGACACAAACAATTTTCTTTCTGTCTTACGGAAAGTGTACGCCCATTCCATCCACCTACGCTTCTCATTACATTGATCGGCGCGCACGCAGTAATCAGTGAATGCGTAATAAACCAGATAAGGCGCACTTCCTAGCGAGCACCGACCGACCAATGATAAGGGCCGGATAGGACTGGGTTCTTAACGTCCTTTGGCTATCGATAAAATACACAACAATCCATCGATAATCTTGTATATACTAGCTACTACTACTATAAAAAACAATTAATTTCATTTTAATAATTTATTGATTTCTTTCTTTGTCGTTAAGTTGTATTAAAAGTGGATATACATAGCATGCATAAAATTATTCGACTAGTAATTACCTCTACTATAAGTCATATCAATCGATGAAAAAAGAATTTACGAAAAACTCAACTGCGTTAAAAAACAAGATAAAGAAACTTTTATTTTGACGAATATCAAAAAGTACAATGCAATATATGTAGGTATTTTATGGACACAATTTATTGAAATATTAAATAAGCTTCTATTCCTATTATATAAAGAACTTGAGCATTAGAAAATATTAAACCTAAAATAATCTAGATTTCGCATTAATTGGCTCGCTTATAGAACTGATAATATATAATATTGTAAACGTATTATATTATAATTATATTATACATTATTACCTACGTAAACAATAATATTGTTTACGTAGGTAATATTGGCATAATGTTATTGAATTTATCGATTTATTGTCCTTTTTATCGACAAACAAACATCCTTAATTAAATATCGCCGTTGTATGGTAACTTACCATTGTAGTCGGTGCGTCATGCTGGTGTCGGGACCACTGCAAAATAATCAGTTTTTCCTTCAATTAATATACATCGAATTATAATTATAGAATTAGTGTAACGTAACTAGCTGGGAAGTCTTGTAGTTTTTGTGTGTATAAAGTAGTGAAAAGTGTATAGTCATGGCAGAAAGAACTAATAGTGAAAAAAACAGTAGAAAGTGAGAAAAATGTTTAAATTAATGAGAGGGAAAACGTGGTTTAAAGAGGTAAATCTGATTTTGGGCGTAGGCTATAGTTTCTTACTTCGTGCCACATAATATTCTACCTTGTTTACGTATTAATAAGATCCAACAATATTTTTCTTATCAATTACCGTACACTCTGCATATGCAAAGGGATATTTATGTACGACACGACTACATTTTGAATTACTTTGTGGTATATTTTTATATTTCAATAACCAAAGTTTTTTTACAGCAAACACATATTATCTTGCAACCGTTGTGAATCATTCATTCGAACAACAAAAAAGGAAAATAGCATAATAGAATACTTTCATTGTTAACAATAATTACAGTTAAATTAGCACTCTGACTGCGATAATATTATTTGCAATATTAGAACCAAATGTATGTCATAAACATCTAGATAACGATTCGCGTATATAATTATTTATGTTGCTGTCATTTGTTATCAGTGTATCTATAACGCAAAACTAATTATATCTATAGAAGCACGCGTTCATAAATTAAAGTTCACAAGTAAAATACTAAACAGATGCTGTTGATGAAATTCGTAAAGACAATTCAAACTAATGTCGTTCCTTTTACCTTGCGACGATGATGATATGGCAAAATATAACATCATCATCAGCCCTTTTACATCCCCACTTCAGGGGCTCAGACCATCCTTATGGATGGTTAAGATGGGCCATGACCCACTACGCTGGCCCAATGCGGATTAGAAAATATTAACGACTACTAATGCAGTCTGGACCAACGATTTAACGTGCCTTTCGAAGCACGGACTAGCTCGAGACAATATTTTTTTAGCAGAAAACAAGCTCAAATTTGACTAAAGAATTTATTTCAATCGATTTACATATACCACTATCATCGGCCTAATAACAAAATCCAGCCGGGTCACAGGCTTTCTCTATGAAAGGAATTGAATAATAAGAATGTGACACACACCGGTACAGATTGGTTATGTTACGATGTAGATTCGGACGAGACCAACGGCTTAACGTGCCTTACGAAGTACAGTAAGTTAAAGAACATTTTTGGTCATGATCGGCCTTTGCGAAACTAAACTTCCGCATCGCAGACCGAACTCGATAACCACTGCACCATCGAGCTCTTCAATTGATATAATGTACTGCAAAAAAGTTAAGGCATTGCAAATTAGTGCAGCCGTGATCTTTTGTAAATTTAAAGTGGGCCATACGAAGTGATTTGGGTGAGTGAGTTTTAGAGTGTTTTATGCGCATTTTAGCCCATACTTCATTCGGGAATATAAGTATATACTTAGCACAGTGAAATATGGTAATTAGTTAGTAAAACTAGTTAGAAACGAGACACAACAACACAAAGCTGTATAGTTTTTCTATCCTGTTTATGTATTTTAGTAAAACCAATCGTTTAAATACTCTTTAAATACACAAATATAGACGTGTGATATGTTTTATTTGGTGAATATTATTATATCGGCAAAGGCAGCTTTACAAAATGTCAAATTACCGCAGTAAATTTTTTTATTAAGTTTTGTATCAATTGGAGTAACCTTTTTAGTTTTGTACCTGTAATTTGAGTTTTTAAAGATTTTATATAAAGTTCTAATCATCTGACACCTCACAATACCAACATTGCGTTGTATTCAGTTAATTGGACGACTATTGATTTAATTCGTGTTTTCCTTAATTCATAATAATTATGCAGTGAAATCCACATTAAAGACACGGTAAATATAGTTTGAGTACGTATATGGTAATGTATAAAATTTATGAGCTATTTTCAATGTTCTTCAAAAAGAAAAACAAGAGAGTTTTAATATGTAGGAAGCGAAATTCAGCTCGCAAATTATAAATAAAATAACTCATGATAAAAAAAATAATAACATGTAAGATTCTAGACGACAAAAAATAACTGATAGATGTATACGTAATTGTACATTCATGAAAAGACTTAGAAAATATTTGAACAGAGTGCTTAATTTAAACGTAAAGATTGCGAGCGCGTTAAAATTTTGGTATGGCATCCGGTACAGCACCCCTATCAGCAGCTATTAAAAACTACTCGTAGAAATCTTCTTACAAATTCTTAAAAGTTACACTTATGTACCAGTCAGGTGACAGTTGCTGTTGTGTGACTGCTCAAACTAATTGAGTTACCCGAGACCTAACGTGACTGACGAATTTCTTATGCACTCGTTTCTTCCGCTACCAACCAGTGAGCATATTCTCATCGATGTTTAAATCCTCTAGCCACGGCTAGCTAAGATTTCTTTTAAGCGATATTATGACGATTTTTATTTTTATTTTACTAAGTCAAAATGTTCTTTAATAAAGACGAACGATTGATAAAGAATGATGATAATAGATTTGACAGCAGTGTGTGCTACCAAATTAATCATTTATCCCAAATCTATTCAACAAAAGACATGTCCAAGTTGTAAAATTAAAAGAAATGTTGTGATAACATCTCTAAGATGTCGAATCTTATAACTAGAGAGTTAGGCGGCCGCACCCCAAGCTTGTTTTTAATACCAATAGATTATAAAACTGTGCTGGAACCGTTCAATTTCAGGATCAGGAACCGGCATCGGTGAAGTCCTCGGTCCGTCAATATGAACAGCTACAGGATTGGAGTCCGACGTCGGAGCGGAGTCGCGGTGACCTGGAGCGGAGTTTCAGCAAAGCGAACTCCGACAGTCCTCCTTTCGTCAGGATTAATAAAAGACTGGGTAAGGAATACAAGCCAAAACAATAGCAATTCTTTAACGACTTAAGGGGAGAGTAGGCTAGCCGATTTCAAGGATTCGTCAACTCTGAGATCTCAGGTTTGATTACAAAGTTTTGAAGTCAAAATATCTTTATTTCAAATAAACTCATTTAAAGTCATTTTGAATCGTCCAACATTTCGTTCAGTAGGTCAATTTAGCTAGTATACATGAGACTTCAGGTAGATATTACAATGGCAAAGTAGTTGAGACTCTATTGAGATGCGATTATAACAAAAACATTAGCAGAATCGGCCTGTGGGACGTCATTTGGTTGATGTCTTGTTGGGGGGTAATACACCACTAAGATATGAAAGTTTTCCTAATAGGTCATAGGGGTTACAATCCAAAGACATTTTAAACCATTGCATTATTTTTTTATTGTAATTATCACTTAATTAAAGTTTTGCTGTTTGATAGCTTTCTAAATTAAATTTCCTCATCCCTAATTTACAGGTAATTCAACTGAAAACCTGCTATTTCCTCCACGGAGACCGAATCACCTGCAGCTGCCAGCGTCCTCATCTGGAGACAGCCTGGACAATGTGGAGGTCAGGGAGCATGAGCCTGGCTACATCAAGAGCCGGAAGTCCAGGTCTATGGTGGCCCCCAAACACCGCCTGAGATCCCCCGTGCCGGCACCAAGATTGTTGCTAAATCAACCTTCTGAGGTAATATTAACTACTTATATTTGGTATTACATGGATAAGAAATCTAACACTTACACCCTGTTGCAGACACGATCTTTAAGGTTTAAGGATGAATTTAAGCTCTAACGAAGTTGCTAAATATAAATGCGACATTACTTCAAATTAAACTAATATATATTTTAATGAACGTTAGTAAAATGGAGTGACAGTTGCACAAACGTCCATTAAAATTTGCTCTAGAGCCTAATAAATTTGTCATTAAACCTTAAATAACGTTTGTGCATAATCCCTTAATCAAGACTGACTTTATGAACATTAAACTATCATACTTTTTAATATTATATTGATTTCCACCAATTTCCAATTTATTAATCTAGTTTGTACCACTTTTTCACATATACATATCTCTGAATATACATATTTTTAATTTTATTTTATTATTTGAAAAAGTTATAATATCATTTCATTTCTAGACGTTCGTGTTCCAGGCGCCTGTGATAATGGAGGGACCAGTGAAACGCACCAAGTTCTCTGAGAGCGGGAAGAAAAGTAAGAAGAACTGGAACGACTGTTACATGGTTTTGACGCCCACAGCGCTGGTCTTCTTCAAAGACCAGAAGACGTATCTTGCTACGGTGAGTTAGATTGTTAAATATTCTTATTTATTACGGTCATTAAAAATTGTAAAATATTTTTTTCACCGCACACCATAATAATCTATATTGAATAACGTTACTACATTATTTAAGCCTAAACCAATAAGAAGGGAAGGTACAAATAGTGTTTGTTCCCAGTAATGGGGATCTGGAGTGAAAATATAGATCGATAGATCATCATCATCATCTTTTACGTCCCCACTGCAGGGGCTCGGGCCTTCCTTATGGATGGTTAAGGAGGATGGACCATGTCTCTCCATATTGGCCCAATGCGGATTGGAGGGTATTAACGACTGCAAATGCAGCCGGGACAAATGGCTTAACCTGCCTTCCGAAGCACGGAGTAGCTCGAGATAATAACTTTTGGGTCACCCATCCTGTGACCGAACATAGCGAAAGTTGCTTAACAACAACGATCGCGGGCCGCGGCGCTTATCCACTAAGCCACCGAGCTACTCTTAGAGAGACAGATGCTCTTACCTAATGATAGTTACTTATAATACTAATTTTTAGTAGTATAAGTTTTAAAGTGCTATCAAATATACTAAAAAGTAAAAATCTTAACATTCATAGATAGACATTGGGGATTGAGTCAACTTCTATTCATTCAATTACATTAAAAAGCTATAAACTACTTATGATGTGTCAAAAAAAATTAAATACATTTAACGAAATTAATTCATTTACACAACAATATTAAAATATACTTTGTTCTGTGTTCAGCGCGTGGGCAAGCAAGCGGGCACGCCTCCCAGCCCCACAGCCCCGCGCGCGGACCTCGTGCTGCCGCTCCGCAACGCGCATCTCGTGCACTGCATACAGATGCACACCAGGAGGTAACCACGCCCCCATCCACACAAATTATGAATAATGAAAATCTTTATTGCAACATTTACAGATAACGTATTAATGAAACACTGGCTTCAGAATTTAAGAAACTTGTGTCTCAGAAGCCAGTGTTGGTATTATGATAGGATGGACTAATAAATTGCATGGTTTTCTGAAGCAAAGGAAATCGTAGAATACGTTTGACATAAAGATAATTATATGTCTTTTTAGAGCTGCTATCATTTGTGATACCCCTTTTCTATTGTAACGCATTTTGTATGATGTATTTTACATTCAACTGCATATAGTTGTTCAATATATTCAAATAAATTACATTTTAAAAGATTTTTTAAATTCATAATTAAGATTAGCTACAGATTTATTATTTTTTTTATTTATTTATTTTACAGATTTCGTTAGAGTTACTTTAATTATTTCGAATTTATATAACAAATACTAATAGCTACTTCATTTAGGCTTTGTTATGTCGTCTAAAAAATCTATATAAATAATTATATTATTAAAATAATTTTAGAACATATTAGCATATCTGTGATATTACTTAAATTCCGTCTATCGTTTACAGGTTCACCAAGTCGATGGTGTTAACAGTTGGCTACGATCAGTACCTCCTCCAAGACGAGACCGAGGAAGGTGCGAAGAGGTGGCTCATTAACATTCAGAACATTATCTACAAACTTGTAAGGCACCATTTTAAATTAATAATTTGTTCTTAAAGCAGGTGGAAAAACAGACAATGACACAAAGTATTATGTGAGCGTAAAGAGTAAACAATACATATCGCTAACACTGTATCGTTTCCGCGGAGTACTGCTTAATGTTGTACGGGATGGGCTAAGTGATTTATAGTGCCTGCTTTCGCATGCTTTAGGAACATACTAAACGATTCTCAATAAAAATCCAGATTCATATTTTTAAAATTATGCATTGGTTTTATTATTATAAAGGTTTTGTGCTTAATTATTATCATATGTAGTGACATCATTTGAGCAGTTACCGCATTCAATGCGTAAATATATTTTATTCACACCATAATTTAATTCCTATTTGGTCATTAAATACTCACAAATTCATAATTGGTATTTTTAAGTTACAATATAAAACTGATTTCTATCTTTAAGTGTATCTTTAAGTAAAAAATATCTTTAAGTGTATTTTTAATCGCAATGGTTCTATAATTTAAATAATCAAATTACTTACATAATGCAAAGGAGTGTCAATAAAACCAACCATCTTTATTTTATATTTTCATAGGGTCCTCCAATGCCGGAAGAATATCTGCCACAGTATCTTAGCAGTAACACGGACCTGGAAAGTCTCGGACGTACCCCTCCAGCAACGAGGCACACGCCGAGACAAAGAGGTATTATCACAAAATCACTAATCCTAATATTACTAGTGTCGCAGCTATATGAAGAATCTCACAAATACAGAGGAAGCAGTTTCATGAGTATATCCTGTTAATATCCCACCTGGATATTTGTTATTTATTGACAGAAAAGTATTAGTTATTGCAGATGATAAAACTCCCGATACAGCTAATACAAAATACAAAAGTTTATTATTTATCAAAGTGACTGTCACAAGTGATATCTCTTTGTATTGCACCTTATTTTGGTTTAAAATTCAAAATTATAAAATTTAAAAATAAAATTTTACGTCAAGAAAAAGTAATGAACGTAGCGAAGTTTTGGGTAAATATAACGTTACTATTATTCAACAATTTTTTTTGCAACACCCGTATTTTTAGTCGAGTAAAAGTAATTATTGAAGTATAAATAATATTTTTAACAAATGTACCTGAATTTGAATGAAGTAAGAACTGTTAATAGTAAAAATGCTGTTATTATTAGCTAGGTACTAACAGTTCTCATTCAAATTTTCGTCTATTTGTTAAAAATACCTGTTTAAGTTATGTCATTTTCTTAGCTTATTACTTCTACAGACTGTAGATGTGGGTGCGATTATATAAGAAATTTAAAAGAAATTCCATTTTTTTTATTTGACTATTGTGACTCTAAAATTGTCACTTAAAACATTGGACGCAACATCAACTGTTCAGTGTAAATTTTTACAGTAGCCTTTGTCAATTTGTAAGATGTGGTCCCTCTGTACCGAAAAGCAATTAATATTGCGCACTCCGGTGGTGATTTCTTACTCATGTATAATATTTGCAACATGGAAATCTTGTTTAGCAAACGCATTTGATTCAATTACTGTGCATTTCCTTATCATCATGAGTTTTTGTCATATACTTAATTAAAAGGCAAAACAATTTCTACAAAGAGTTGGTCAAAGTTAGTATTTTGAAATAGATATCATTTTGCAAAGTTGCAAAAAAATTAACTTTTAGATCTAGGATCAAATTATTCGAATTTTTCATCGACGTAAATACAATTTGGTATGTATATTTGGTGAGTGTTTCGCATAAATTTCTGATTGTTTCTATCGCGAGTACTGCAAGGAGAGGAATATTAGTCAAAAGCCTTTGAAAAATCCGTGCAGGAATAATTTGTTTGTATGATAAAAGTGAGTATATTAATTTGTTTCAAATCATCTTTTCTTACTAACAATATTATTAAGACTCACTTTCTTTTCTTTAACAAAAAATATTTCTATTGCTATTGTGTTATGCCTTTTCTGTAGCCAGTTGACCTAAAGTTTAAAACTGATGGACTAGTTATTTTCTTTTTATTTTTATCATGACATTCTAAGTATGGTGATCTAGCAAAATTATTGTTATATTCAATTCGAATAACGTACAAATTTGTCTATTGTGGTTAATTATGTTGTTCATTTACATTTCCTAGAGGCTATAGTTGTTTGCGATGTCGTCAGGTCAACAATGACAAATCATCCCAGGAAACAGTGTTGTCAATTTCCTTATTTTAACTATTCCTAACTGAAACTTTACTTGTGATGGTGTTTGTTTGATTAATCTCATAATTATGTAGAATACTCGTTCGATATCTGTGTTCTTTTGTTGTGATTAAATGATGAAATTCAGGAATTCAAAGATTTTTATAGGATATCGTTATATGTTCTTATGTAGCAGTGTTATTTAGAAGTCTAATTTTATAGTGGACTTAATTTTAGTGTGATGGCGATTTGCGGATGTATGAGAGCGGACGGCTACCGTCTATCGAATTCATGTAAGATATTTTTCTGTCTAATTTGGCCAACATTGTCTTATTTTTTTTTATTTAATCATTTCGTCATTATTTGATAAATCTTTTCTAATCATTTATATATATTTTTTAAAACTAACTGCGATGTTGTTGTAAAAGTCTGCAGATTTAAAAAATATAGAATTTACAAAATTACATATAAACTTCAAACCTTAATATTAACCACGGTTTGAAATAAATGAAATAAACAAAATTAAAAAGGAAAATCTAAATTAAGATACTAAACGATACATATTGAATACATTTTGATATGTATTTAAATAAATAAAAAATAGCGTACATATCTGTTTTTTTGCACTGGGATGGTAAAAAGCAATGATTATAAAATCCGTTGGGGTAATGCCATTGTTTTATTGGAAGTTCTACGTATATCTGCATTGTGTAAGTTTTTAAACCTCTGGTCTTAAACCGTTTTTATGATTATTAATTATGCCTGGACCTTTTACTTACGAATAATATTATGTGAACTTGGGAATGATATCAAAGTTGTTATGAAATTGAGTTTGCTTTTTCTCGTGTCCTAAATCAATAAATTATTTCCTAACAATGTTAATTGGCAAATTCTCTATGTTTACATTTATCGCGAAAATCAACGTACTTATTATTGATTAAATTATTAATTCCCGATTTCAAGTGTCCTTTATCAGATAATGATTAATATACGATTAGATATGTTTTCATGAAAGCTCAGTTATTATGTATTGCTCCAAACGAAACATTGAATTAGCAAATATTCTCATGTAAATTTCATTTGAAATTTCGTGATAGAAATAGTGATAGTGTCGTTATCAAAACTAGTGTCAATAAACAACGTTTTTTAAATGGATTTAGAAAAGTCGGCGATATTATCGATACATATGATATCATCAAACATTCTATCGAGAGACATAGAAAGAACAAAGAGTAAACCCAAGAAAAGTCCAACGGAGAAACATTCGAGATTCAGAGATCTATTTGGATCCAATCACAATTTGCATCAGAAACATATACACAGTAAGTTAGCGGAATTGGATCATCCCCTATAATATCTTTTATTTACTGATGTGTTAGCGTTATTGTTTTGAATTCTCTCAAAAACAATTCTATTGATTATCTAAACAACACATTGGGTTTTTAGAAAATGTCATATTTCCACAATTTCTTTCCAGTTTCATATAAACACTATAAAAATAAATTAGATTTTAACAGTTTCAAATAACCTGATTTGCTGTTGCATCAATAAAATAAAAACAATAACAGTTTTTATATAATTTTAAAATTTAGTTAGGTCCATTACCGCTTCTTTGATAAAATCTTACTGAAAATAAAAATACCTAAAATATAACTATTTCACTTTATCGGCAACCACAATAATATATAATAAAATCCTAACCCAGAACAAACACTGCGAATTTAAAAAGTATTCTTTGTTGTATTATGATCGTGTTCGATATGTATCGTTGGATGCTCTTTAAATGGTATCTTAAACTACCCACATATTGGTTTAGAAATAATGGAGCCTCTGATGTATTTGAATCGTCAAAATAAAATGTAAAAAGTATAAATTACTCGCGATAAAACTAACCGAAACTTATTTTAAAGATAACATAAAACGAGTGAAAAATAATTATTTATTTTATGAAGCATTATTATAAAATACGTTTGTTTTCTGTTTAATTAGTTGTCACCGCTAACTGAAGATGCAGTTTTATATTAACAGTGCAAAAAATGTTTATAAGAAGTTGTATTCTTTCACCAATACTAACAGGTAATCATGTTTTACACGTTTTATCTCTCGATAAGATATCTGAAAGTGTTACTCGTTCTGTACGTGTCGAAATAAGGTTTGATACTATTGTTATTACATAGTGGTTCAGTATATTGTGTGTCACAGCATGTGAAATGTGGATATAATATGGATTCTATTCTGGATCTTAAGGTAATTCCGTTTGTTATACATATTTCAATGTTTCTTTCGTCTTTTTTGGTTTGTATAAACGATCTTTTCCTGTTTCATCATTCTAACGTGTACGAGTGTATCTTTCTATGATGTTATATGAGTTCTTTCTTAATCGATATCGTGCTGTTTTTTAGAGATGAAGTGTTAGATTTGCTTAGTCATGATCTTGTTTAACACCGTTTTGTGAACACTGAGTGTACATTACCTGCTTTAAAAGGTAACAAAAACGCTTTTATGAAACTAGATTTGTTTCAAAGATTTCTGCATAAATTTTTCGATATTTTAATTCAATGTTCTCTTCTTATCTTTAAAACTAAATCTTTATATTGATAATGTATTAGAAAAATCTGTGTCACATCTTACGTCATTAGTAAAATTAAGAAGATTAATATTATCTAGTGACGCTTTTAAAGATTAATTTAGCATCATAACGGCTTATATTATTGTTGAGGGCTATGATTAATAATGAAACTGTTGATACGCCATTATATTTTAAATTACTTTGTTTATTTGAATATATATTTAATTACTACTCGTGGTACTAAAACTTATATTCAGATAACGAGGATAATATTATCACACAAGTTCAACAATTGAAGTTTATTAATTGATTTTCAAGATTTTGGATGGCTGTTTTGCAATAGGGATGTTGCCTGGGTAAAAAAAAAACTGTTTAGTCCGTCAAACAGATAATAGAAAAATATTAGGTACGTATTTTTTCGCTTCAGTGTTAAAAGAAATGGCTTAGACAGTAGGTGTTAAAGTTGAGAAGTGGAGCTCACTACATCACAACTATGTAGAAAAATAAAAAGGTGTAAGTGACATCATGGATGCTTCAACTTAATGTAACGCCGTAAATTATTGGTAAAATAAAAAATACGTGTTTAATATTTTTCAGTAACCTGACGGACAGAGAAAAAATTAATTATTGCAAACCATTAACAACAGATGCCATAATAAAAGCAAATTTAACAATCATGTATGTCATGTTCGGCTGAAATCTTAATTGCCATCATTAATATGGTTGGGGCCTTAAATGTTATTTCTTCTGATTCTATTTCAGCTTAATTCTCTTTCGCTTCATCGTCTTTTATTGGCTGTTCTTCGGTCTGTATTCTTGTTATTGTTTTGCAGCTGGTGGCAGTAGCAACGAAGATCTTAGCGACTCCACGGAGGCGTCGATCCAGAAGTCTCACGTCAGAAGTATATTGAGGAAATTCTTCCCGAAACGACCAGCTATGGAGGTGTTAGTCAAGAAGGGGATCTACAAAGGTTCGATATGATTTAGTGTGACGCTTGTGACACTTGTCATTGCGCACTCAAATTAGAGTTTGGTAGACGCTAAAATTCTTAGTTTTGCTGGTTTTCGCTTTTAGATTAAGTAATTGATTGTAACAGAAGTATTTTGGGTGGTGTTTGGTTTGGTATTTTTTTTTAGATTGTTTTAGATTTAGTTTGTGGCACATTGTATATATTATATATTTTGTAATGTTGTAATATATAAGGAACGGAGTTCTAAAATGTAACATTGAATTTTAAAGTCTATTTCAATACATTTTTGAACGAATATGCATTTAAAAAGACAATTGCCTATATATTTAACATTAATTTAAATGGCATTTAAACATAAAGTAAAGAATTCATAACAAGATTAATGAATTCATATGGCTGCTTGTCTAGCGAAAATCTGGTCTGGTTCCCGGAGAGGGAAGATCGCGTTAACCCATAAATTTCTCTTTATTCACTCTTGCATAGATGTGCCTGTCTTTCGAATAATATAAATAAAACAATTTTTAAAATCAAAAGTTATTTAAAGTAATGAAATATGATTATGTATTTATACTGCGATTCTGTAAAAATCCCGACCCGAATTCAAATGCTCTCATGTGTGCGAATTTACGTCATTTAGGGTAGAAATTTTATTGATTCCATTTTTTTTGTATACAAACCATAATTGATTGAATATACGTGTCTCAGATATTTTATTCCTATGTCAATTCGAAACTCACTTATGCCACTTAACGTTATTACCAATTTAAGGTTGAACGGATGCCGCTTTTTTAAATGAATTCAGAAAACTGAGTGAATTCGAATTCGGGTATGGATTTTTAGAAAATCCCAGAGCAATTACCACGATCTTCTTTCTCTTACTAGTCGAGCAATGTCGCCGACGCTTACATACTCTAATGTAATAGTTCATTAATGTTAAATGGTCTATTCTATTGGCAGACATTAAAATTTTAAAAATTACAGTCTAAATTATTTTCGATAACTTTTTTGTATGGAAATAGAAGTCATTATAGCCATACATTCATAAAGAATAATTTCGATTTGATTGCTGTGTGATTTGACGCAAGCTACAAATTATAATAATAACAAAATAGTCGTAAGTTTCAAACTACGCAATTTATTTTCTTTACCAATTAACTCCTTTGCTGTAGAGTATGGTTCATTTACTAATTTAGTTAATAAGATTGGTGTATAATACAAAAAATATATTAACTTAAACATAGTAGTGTTTGAAAAAGTGGGTGAATATTTTAAATTCTTAGTTTCTAATTTGCATGTGTGTGATAAGAAAATCCTATTAATTGATTTTGTGTGTTTTATTTACCTTTAAAAACTAAAGTATGTTAAAATTCTAATAACGGTGGATGGTAGCATAATTTGTAAATAAAAACTAGAGATAATTTTAAATGTTAAGTATGAATTAAGTTTGAGTAAGATCCTTTAATGGTTTCAAAAATATTGAATGGGTATTACATAATATACTTATTGTATTAAATTACGGTACTGACATCTCTTCAGCAACATAAAATAATTTCAGCAACTGAAATTGGTTTTCGTCACTTGTTTACATTTAAGTCTTACAAATAAAATTTTAATATTGTCTTATTTCGGTAGATGGCATGAATATTAAAATAAAAAGCAAATCCGAGAGTTAATCACGAAATGTGTCTTTGCATTTGTATGAAGTAACTTTGTTGGCAAAATTTGTTATTCTCGTAATAAAAAGAAATATTTGCAATAGAAAATTATAAAAAACAAAAACTTTTAAATTTAACGAGATATTCGATTATTAATCGCTTCTATCGGTTTAAAACGATCATACGTTGGCAAATAATGGAGTTCCTACCATCAATTAATGTTTTAAAATCATTCCAGATATAATACAAATTATCCATAATTATACTCTCGTAATTATATAATAATAAATTTGTTTCTGCTATTCTTTTTTAATTGCCTTTAATTTTTACTTCTGTTCTTGGTTATTTACCTACAGCATCGAAAAACTAAATTAATGGTTAGTTGCACAAACGTCCATTAAGGTTTAATGACGCCTTTAAGCTGTAATGAATGTCAAATTTGTATGGGTAATGTCGCTTTAAACTAAAGACTATTTTAATAGACGTTTGTGCAACTGGCTGCAAGTCTTGTTGGTACAACAGAATTGCTATCACTATATATTTGTAAAAATATAATTTAAAAATATATAGTATACTTGGATTATTATTAATAATTTATGTACTATTTTTAGATATTAATGATAGCAGATTTATTTATAAATATTTCCATGATGCTCTCTATATATAAACATAAACAATACCAAATAGCATTAAACATGTAATTACCAAAAATCGTTTGTTTGTACATACATATGAATTTGTGTACGGGCGGTGGATGCGACCTCTATTTTTGGCTACTGCCTAACTCTCTAGCCACAAGATATGACATTCTTAACGAACACTATGGCGATATTAAGTTTCATTTTACTATTTTGACATGTGTTTTAGTGGATAAATTTGAGAATTTTGGAATAAAATAGCCGTTTATCCCAAAATTCCCAAATTTCTAACTTAGTCAAGTTACTAAAACTACTCTCAACTCCATATTCATCATTTTTTATCATTATTGCTCCGTTATTAAAGAAATGTCATAGAAGTAAAATAAAACGAAATCGCGTTATAACATCACTAAGATGTCATATCATAAGGCTAGAGTTATTGTTAGGTTAGGTTATATAGAAGTGGCTAGATATGATAGTTTTTTAATATCACTTAAGTTTTATATCAAATAAAAGCGCTTGTTGAAAAAGTTACGTTATAATGTCTTATATATGATTTTTCTAAAATAAATAAAAGTACATAGTGTTTAAGGGGTTGATCAATCCTCAGATGAGCCTGTGTTCGGTCGCAAGCTGGAGGAGGTGTGTCCGGCGAACAGCCCGCGCGTGCCCGAGTTCGTGGTGGCGTGTGTGAGGGAGATAGAGAGCAACGAGGACAACATGTGCACCGACGGACTGTATCGTGCCAGCGGCAACCTCAGCCAGGTGCAGAAGATAAGATTAGAGGTATGACCTGCCCACTCCATGGGTTATTTACTGTATATAAGAAAAAAAAAACATTTAATAAATTGGCTTAAAAACTTTCGTTGATTGTACACACGTTTGCACGTCAGGTTACCACAATATGACGAATTTCCGCAATTTACCTTGAACGTATTAAGGTTTGAAATCAACTGGAGAAATTAGACAGTTTTCTATAATCGGTCGTGCTGTTGAATGTACAATGAAAAATTGACATATTTTTTTAGAATACATCCCGATCCTTTATCGTTAAAAAGTTGATTATATCTTTTAATTGTGTTATTTTTATTTAACGATAAACGTAATATACCTATTTAATTTCATATACACATTTTTATTTGCAGATCGACCAAAATAATCTATCGGTTATAGAGAGCAACACGGACATCCACGTGCTGACCGGTTCGCTCAAGCTATTCTTCAGAGAGTTGAAGGAACCCCTAATACCGTGCAATATATTCGATAGAATCCTCGCGGCTTGTTGTATGTATAATTTAGTGAAATTTTACAAACATAAATTAGGATTTCCATAAACACGTTAATATTTATCACCCTACTTATGTGTGTTAGGTTGAATTTTATATTTATTCATTTTAGTGTCAAATATACCAAACTTTGGAAAAAATACACCAATTAAATACTTACTTACCTTTATGCAAAAGACAATATAAACGCAAGTTCATAATAACTTAAAATAATATAATTCAAAATAAAACTTTTCAATTATTATTTTCATATTAATTTATTGCAGCAATAAAACCAAGAGAAGCGAAGATAAAAGAATTTCGAGATATAGTACAAGCTCTGCCTCAATGTAACAGAGACACCCTCAAGTTCTTGCTAGAACATCTTCTACGGTGAGTTAAATATAATTAATTCTTTGAGGTATAAGCTCATTAAGATATCATAGCTTCTCTTCCTCTGATCTGACAGCGTCGCCAATCAATACCTGCCAAATTGTATAACAAAGTAATCAGTGTCGGATTAAGCCAGAGAGGGACCTGTAACAATTTTTTTTAAGCCACCCCTTCATGTTTTTGCTCGAGATCATAAAATTCTTACAAACATACTTTTTTTTTATTTGTAGCGCCTTCTTGTTTAATGACAAAATAATAATAAGGTATGGTTTATGACTTTAAAAAAAAAATGGGCATTCTTCCAATCATCTGCTATATCTTTCGTGATAACGATGACGAATAATCGCAATCATTAACTTTGCAAACCAAATAAAAAAGTCATCCTTTACTTTCCGAATAATGAAATACTACCAATCTTAATTTAAGTTTAATTTGACAGTTTATATACTTAAAAATGTGAATTTAGTCAAGCGTCACTAGATAATACGATTCAAATGATATATATAACCACGATGTTTATTCCAATAGTTTAACAAGAATGATAACCCCGAAGTATTTGGCCGCGAAATTTATCAAACGTCAAAGTCAAAGTGACAGTGCTAGCTAATGAATAGCTATCAACAAATAGTGCTGCCCGCAGTATCTTATTCTTTTCCATCTAACATAACCGTACTTTGCGATACCGTGCACTTTCGACGCTTCCATGAAAAAAAATACGTGCGTGTCACTGCACCTTCATTCTGTTACAGCGGCAAACTTTATACGCATATTATCTAACATCTAATTTGTAACTGGTGAACGCCAACGCCAGCCACCAAGCACTGCTAGCCTCATCTATAGAAAGTCAGTTTAACAATTAAAATTAGAAAATATTTAACAGATTTGAATGCTCTTTTAAAAATTGATAGAGTAATTCATGGGGAAAATAAAGTGCTTCCTATAATCTTTTGGTCCATGCTACAGTGCAAGTAATTACAGCGGTTTTAAATTTGCGGGCCACTTGACAATATAATACAATGTTAACGTGTAAAATCAAAAAGTATCTTTCAGAATTGCATGTTTATCATGAATAACGTTAAGATCTTATCAAGTTTAATACTGTCACGCTTTAAATGCAATACATAATATTGCAAACGAATATAATAAAAAAATCAAATCAGAGCGTTTTCGTCATCTATTGTCAGGAAAAATGGCGTTCCACGTAAAAAAAAAACTTTTTTTTGTACAGGGTAACGCAATACAGCGAGCGAAACAGGATGCACACAGCGAACCTAGCGATAGTGTTTGGACCAACACTACTATGGGCACCGGCCGAACAAGCCCACAACATCGCAATCGACTGCATACAACAAAACAATGTCGTCGACATATTACTCAACGATTTTAAAGATATATTCATCGAAGACAATCCGAAAGGGAAAAAGAAGGCGTGATTTCTACTCCGCCGGATATCCCGGACTGACTATTAAGCCCATTATGACTTTTCTTTTTCTTATCAAAAAGTACTGTGCGTAAGGATTGTAACAGCCGAATCGAGATAGAAATAAACTTTTATCAAGTGGCGGTGGTGATAAACTTGTGAGAATAAAGTTTGAAAACAAGTATTAAAATAATTAACTCAGCAAATAGTCACCATTTGGCTAGTTCTGTAATCCGAGTTTTATATTTTGAAGCGAATAATATAAATGTATGATATGTATAACGTTTTATGTCTGTAGATATTTGGATGATGTTGTGATATGCGTAAGAGTGTGGAACATCTTGTTAGGTCAATTTATAGATGATTTGACACATTTTATGATGATCTCTATCATTTGAATATTATTTTTTGTGAATTATTTTCCAAAATTTTATCCAAAATAGTGTTGTGACCGTGAAGCAATATGTCACGTAAAGACTGTCAGAGGCTCTAGAAATAATAATATTTTCAAATGAAACTATCATAAAAGTGTGTAGTAATAGTAAAATATGACTTTGTGTGATTTAGCCATTAGAGAAGAACATATATATTGATTTACCAGATATCATTATTTTGGGGCCAAATTTGTAAATAATGTATACTATATTTAGGCTTAAAGCCAGCTTGTAATATGTGCCTTAAGCTGTAACATCTGTTTGGTCGTGTAAATATTCATCTTGGATGATTGACATATGTGATAATGGCGCAGTGTTATATCTAGTTCCCTCTTATGTTAATTTTTTAGCTAAGTAAATCATGCTTGCAAATTGTGATGGTCTAGTCCTTATTGTTTTTAACTGGACTTAAATTATCATCTAAATTTAAATCAATATTTCAATTAATATTTTTATGAGAAACGTTAAAAAATACTCAAATATGTTAATCATATAGAGGAAAATTAAATTTATTAACTATAAATAAGGAACGTAATAAGCTAGGAACCAAAGTTTTATATTTTTGGCTGATAGAGTAAATAAAAATATATTATTATATTTGTTGTATAGTTATCATTGTAAAACTATGTTAACGCCAATAATGCTTGAAAGTAGATGAAGTTACATAAAATAAAAATAACGTATTTGAATTTGTTTTTATTTTATTTTAATATTCTAATATTTTATTAAAAAAAAAAAACCGAATATTACTAACAAACGGTATTTTTTTAAACAATACATTCTTGTATTGCGTTTCCATAAATTTGAATACAAATTTAAAGTTTCAACAATTTCAAAAGAAAAATTAATTTCCCTTGTTCCCATATCTCGGCAGTATATCCAAGAAGAAAATCATGACACTTGGAACATGAATTGTATGGCTAAAACGTAGCTAATTACTCATCAAATCTCTCAAAAAGTTTTGTCGGTCCATGCACCAAACACACTGTATAAATAATTTCAGCTTCAAATATTTGAGCTCATCAACCATGACAACGCGGCTTTTTTAGCAGAGCAGTGTCAATTTGCTATGAAACCAAGCAAGGACTTAACAAATCTCAACATATTATTCGTGTAAACCAAGATAAAGTCTAAATTGAACCAAACACGAAATTATTATATTCAGACTTTTTAATATTGCCCTGATTCACGAAAAAAACAAAGTATATTTTCGTTATTGCAAGATAAATTTCCGAATCATGACAAAGGAGGACAATTCATAAAAAAACATATCTTTAACATATAACATTCAACTTAATAACTTTGTTCCCTTTTCACTGCCAATGGAATTCCATTCGGTTATATGATCCACATACTGCCCATCCTTAATTTTTGTTTGCAGACCTAATACAGTAGTGTAATAAATATAAGAGCTATCCATTACACGGCAAAAACCTTTGTGTAATCAGAGGAATATGAACCAATCGCGGTCAGGTTTACGCAATTTATACTTTAATATTGTTTCCAAACGAAGCTATTAGTAATTTAGTAGTGTTTCATAACCTGTAATCCGAGGACCCCTGGGGTTTCCGAACTACATAAAAAACGCAATAAATCAAGTAAATCTAAGTAATTGTCAAATCGGCACCAACTTTATTTACTTTATCAAAACAATACATAAAGAGGCACGAACGTCATTGGTATGAGGCACGAACGTCCTCTATGGCATGCAGATATGGAGAACCGGCCATAACGCATCATGTGTCTATTGAAGCATGGAGGAGCTTGAGTTTTGTTAACATATTTGGAGGCTTAGAACTCTGGGCCTTTTGCTTCCTATACCATTCCATAAATTACAGCAAACATAACAAAAATATTACTCCGTTTACTCAAACTCAGTTATTGCTTACCTCTATAATTATAAGTTAAATCAAGGAACTCTGTAATGGCTGCTTTTTTCCGTGAGAATTTTATATAGAGAAGTCCAATTATAAAATGACTTCATTAGACTATGAAGTCACTCTCCATTACACAAAAGATTACAAAAGGAGATAATTATTTCGTTAAAGGATTAATATGCCGTATCATATAAATTCATACAATATGCATAATAACACAAGTGAACAAAATGGAGTAGATCAGACTATCATTAGAAACAGATAATTAAAAATATCTAAAGATACGTCGTGTGTGCTTAGTCGCCTTTCAGCTGAGCCATTGCTGTTTTGGCAAATACAAAATAGAGGTAAATATGTACGGCTCTGGCCAAAATATTTCATGTAATTTTCGGAGAAGTGGCCTTGTATAAGGATCCGTGTTCGATTGCCGGTCGGATTAGTATAGAAAATATACTTTTCTATATTATTAAGGAAATATCGCTGTATCAATTACGTAGTTTCGTATCTAAACGATGAGTTTTATGTTGTCTATTATTATAGAAAAACCTCAGTTCGAAAGTGTGAAAATAAAACGAAAAAGAAATCATTCATCAGTACTTTAATTATGTATTATTTTTATACAGAAGTGAACTGATTTTGTTAGCTATAAAGTTCATAAATTTTCACAGTCTTTTATCTTTTCTTTTACTGCATTGTTTTCACTTTTAACAATATATAATTATTCATCAAAAATAATTTCCAAAAAGCATTTATAGGAATGTAACAATTAAGACAAAATTTTAACAAAAATACATTATTAAAAAAGTTATATTCAAATAAAGTTAAATATTATTAAAAGTTACATCAAATCTTTAACTACTGCTTAATATTGTTAAATAATAGTAACAATTCTGTTTGGCAAACTAGACTTAATTTGGTTTTTTTAATCCTGACTTTGTCTTTTGATCCTGTAAATAAATAGCATAAGTAAACTAATAAACATATTATATTATACATTAATATTTTCGTTTTTTTTTTCATTACTTAAATCTAAAGAATCACGTAAAAGTCTAGAGAATGGTAAAATAGAATTGGCACTAATGCTTTTAAAAATAACCATTCAAACTATTGTTAAATGCATAATTACAAAAGTAATTAAAATCCATTATATTTAGGTACAAAGTATCAAAAGCACAAAGTTATTTCAAGAAACACAATAATGGAAACACTTTTACATTTTGAAAAATAAACAGTTTTTATATATTAAAAATATAAATTCCGAATTGAGTAAGATAAAAAAACACAATATGCAAAATTTTCATAATACATTTTATGTACCAAAGATTAAAATAAATATATATTATGTTTTTAACATAAAGTAATTTATGTATAACAAAATTGGGTTATGATATTTAGTTTAATATAATTCCACGTCATATTAAAAACTTATTTCTTAAATCACAACGTATATTAAACACGTAAATATAACAAAAATCCTTAACAACATTGCTTAATCATAAAAATTAATAACATTAAATTTAATTAATAACAATTTTAATGGAATAGACATCGCTAGCTTATAAATTAGTTTTAGTTTTTAATTACAATTATTGCGTACAAAACATATTTGAAAAATAACTGATTATTGTTTATATTGCTAGTATAAAAAGCTATCTAACGTTAATTAAATTACGAAGCTCGTGTTTTTACGTACGTTAGTAATAGTAACGATTTTACAACCATACCGGCAAAAAAAAAATAAGAAGACGATAAAATTATTTTTCACATTTTCAGTTTTTTCAAATGTTCAAAGGGAACAAACATACAGCCAAACAATTTCATCCTAGTCTGTCGTTGCTCCTTGAACATAATAATTCATCTTAAGAAAATTTAATCCCTCCTTTGGGAATGGGGGGAAATCTCCAGAAAACCTTTTATAAATATCGATAAACGAAAATCTCGTTAAGTACATGGTAAAGTTGTGATTAACTTTGGCGTGATTATAAAAACGTTACAAAAATGCTTGGGAAAAGTCTGCGCCGAAAATATTCTATTATTTAAAATTCAAATATAGAAGCTTCAGAGAAACCTACTCTAATTCATTTTTTGTTCTTATTCGAAATATAAAATTAAACTAGATCTTATATATTTTTTTAATAGAAACGTTTCACTGCACAGTTTTTCACAAGCTTTCAACAGATTACGATAAAACTTTTTTTCACAATAACACGTTCTTACAAAAACTTATTTTTTAATGTACAAATATATAAAAAGTGCATAAAATGTTCCAAAAATGTGTATTCAACAATCCAATTTGTTCCGCCGCTAACCACTACATTTATTTAATCAATTTATTTACCTAACAATTATCGCAAAACAATTTATGAAACTACACATTCTTATGTATATATTTATAATTTGTATATGTTTTGGATATTGGTACTACGGGCGAATAAGCTCTATTTATTTTAAAAGCATCACTTTTCAGCCTAAAAGAAATACTTCAACTCCTATAGTTAAAAACTGTGCATAGACAAGCACTTAGACCGATGACCTGAAAAGAGGTCGAGATAGAATTCGCTGAGAACCATTCGAAATGAAAACTCGATCAATAAGTCTTATAGTCAAGTATATTGCGTAACAATAAATCTGTCTTCACCATAAGAGGCTTTGTTTTTGACATTACCGTCAAAGTCACTGTCAAATAAATCCCTCTTCGTTCCTGTTACAGTAACAAGGAATCAAAACCAGGCTTTAGATAATCCACTGAAAAATTTATGTTTATCTTTGAAAAATAAAAACTGAACAATTAATGATTGGATGAAATATTTTTTATAATAAAAAAAAATTTTAGGTAGTAGATACCTAGTCTTTTTTAATTATAAGTATGAATATAATGAGACATTTAAATATTTCTTTATATATACACATATGCCGTATAATATATAAGACCATTGTTCGAGACTAAACAAAATTCAATTAAAAATATTTAAAAATGTTTTAAATGCCATTATCTATGTAATTCAAGTTTAAGATTAACAATTTATCGTTGAAGTTGTTTCTTTTAGAATCTACGAATTCTTTAATCCTCAAATGGAGTAACATTTTTCTTATGACATTTAAAAATATCGTAAAAGATTAATAAATAATTTGTTTAGAGAATTCTATATTTTATCATTTTCGATTCTCTGCCAAACGTTTTTAAGCTTAGAAAAGAAAATATAAAAAAGTATCTTATTATTATATTTTTGGAATACTATTTAATTTTAAAGTATTTCATAGTTATTCGAATTTTTTAGATATTTATTGAATAGCTAATCATTATTTTTAAAAAGCAATTACAAATCAATTAACTTTCAATATTTTCGTTAATCTAGAAAGTAAGAGTCACTAAATACTTCTAGTCTATTTTTTTTAATTAGAACTTACAAAAACTGAACTGTTTGTAAGTTTGTGAAAACAAAATTAAAGAGTAATAAATATATGTTTGATACTGGATAGCCGTATCGCGTGTTTGGTTCTCCAAGGCCACTCGATTTCCACCTTGACTTATATACATATGATAAAAGCAATTTTACAAGATTTATAAATATTACATTAATATAAACGCTATATACGATCCAAAATAATAATCAATCATAATAGATACGATTGAGAACAAAGAAATGAAACTATATGAATAGTATAATTCTAATCTATCAAGTTCATAATTCAAATTGTGGTACAGTCAGATATATTTCCAAAATCTAGGAGGCCATGCTTGATTTTAAAGAATATTTTTTAGTAGAAAGAAAGAATAAAAAACTACAATTGTTATTCTCAAATACCTTAAAATCACTTTAATGAAATAATAAATAAACGAAAAGCTCTTGGGTTGTAATTAAGAATATATTAAAGAACGCGGTGTATGTTAAGATAGCCAACCAACAAAATAGAAAAGCAAGAAAGTAGTGAGTATGTAATTGCCATATTTTAATACACAATCTATTGTACTTTATTACTTGTAGTAAGTTTATTTTTTATTTTATTACAAAATTGATCTTAAACATGTTTCGTGACTTCAAAATAGAAGTTTGTTTATGTAATGTGACTTTGGAAACATAGAGGTAGTAACTAACATAAGTTTTCGTAACCACTTTGTGAGGCAAGCTATTATAAGTTACTTAAATCAGCACCAAAACTTGTCTCAAGGTCGTAATAAGAAACTGTTACTCCAAAATTTTATCAGAATTCGTCTCTTAAACATATAGTTGTTACACAACAACTAATTCATTATAATTACAATACAATCGCACAGATTTATTCCAAGCGGGGTTCAAATATAAAACAAAACATCACAACTAATTAGGAACATTTTAATATAATAATAAAATAAAAATACTTATAATCTAATTTATCGAATAACATTATACTTGGTAACTCTCTCATTTACCTATAAAAAGCACAATCAGTCAGTGGCACCAATAATATTCAATATAAAAAAATTTCAACAGTCACTTGTTATTAATTTTATGAATGCTATATCTCATCGGAATCAGATCTTATGGAATCGTAATTGGACGTTTTACTTTTCAGCATTCTGAGGAAGGAGCCAACTGCAAATATAGTCCTCCTATGTCTGTGAAATATACCCTGATATAATGCCTCCCTCAAGGCTTTCCGGTCGTCCTGTATGGAAGTCTGCGTGCTCAGTGTAATGTCAGAATGAGCTCCAATAGCCTTCTGATGTCGCAGGCTGCCGTGTTTCTTTTCCAATGATTTCTGATTGGGCAAACTCATTGTTGATTCTATCGAAGAGTTTTTAGTTTTCCGAAGGTTCAATATTTTCTTGCCTGACGATTGCGTTTCAGATGACGATCGTGTTGGCGCTAACTTTGATCTGTGCAATGGATTGTTACAACTGTCTGGGTGCACCGTTATCTCCACAGACTTTTGACTGACAGCACTCGATCTAGTCAGTGTCCTCTGAGAGGTGGTCGCCTCTGGTTTCGGCATATCTTTCGATATTGACGCCTGCTCCGCCTCTAATGCGATCATTTTTAAACAATCAAGGAGTGTCTCAATTGAATGCTGGAATAGATTAATCGAGCAATTTATCCAATCAAGGTCACATCATAGGCGGTCGGGCTTCATCAATACTATCAATAGAGGGCACGGTCAAATGTATGACGACGTCCGAATTGTTCGGCGAATCACTCTTGTTAAAACCGTCACAACAATTGCTGAATGTTATCGTCGGTACTTTTGCATCACTATCTATTTGCACGGAGTTTAGGTTTTGTGCTAAAGATTCCACTTTTTGGTCTTTATCGTGGCCACTTTGATCATCGTAGTTTGCATTCATAATCGGTGAAATCCATTCCTTCTCGGCGTTTCCTTCGTCTGCGACTTGCTTTTCTACGTCGGGCGAGAGCCCGAAGTCTTCAAGGCCCGAAATAGAAGAACAGCCCTCACCGGAAACGTGAAGTTCGATCAATCCGGTTAAGTTTACGTTAAAATTTTTACTTTTGGCCGAATGACGTGGCTCTTCTGTCGCTTTAACTTCTTCGGATATAATACGATCGGTTATATTCTCAATTTCACGTCGCAATGCTGGATCATCTTCATAAAATTCTGACAAATCTTGAAGATTATCGTACCATTGATTGCCGAGTAAGCTTTGCGGAATATTGGACTTTTGTTCTATGTTGTCTTGTCTGTAACGCTCGATAAGCGGTTGTAGAGATTCCTCGTGTTGCTGAAAGAGATAATGATAGGTCTGGCTTACTGTATAAAGCGAATAAGAAGACCGAGGACGCGGTAAAACGGCCGCAGAAGGTTGACTAGCGAGACAACGCCGCCACACGTGCCCGTTCGCGCGTTCGCACTGTATTGCATTACAATTAAGAATCCTTTCAAAGTCCGACACTTGTTCGGCTTCGCTGATCTGCACCAATAGTTTGTTCTCCGTCTCTTTTCCACAGCGGACTGTCTCGCACAGCCTCTTGTTGTCGCTGACCTGTTTAGGAGGATTAGAGTACTTAGTCTTGTTAATATCGATTGACTTAGAGTTTTGAGGTTTGAAGGTTGAATGTCTTATTGTATTATCCGCGTATTTCATAGGGATGGAAAGAGTTTGAACGGATAGAGTGCACGGGACTTTTACCGGAGCATTCCTATTTTGATGTTTAACAACGACGATGTCGGGTTTGACGTATCGCGTCACGTTTGTTTTTGACAGAGGTCTACGATGGAAGAGTTTCTGTTGACTATAACGGGAGCGGCTGTGATCAGCGCTACATACAGTCCTAGTATATTTTGAGCGTGGTCTTTCAGCGAGACATACGCTTTTAGCTCGTAATGGGGCATCGTACCTCTCGTCTCGGGCCTCGGCCAGTTTGAATTCACGTATTAATCGTTCGTACCGAAAAAGCGAGCGAGCGCTGCTTGAATGCGGTCTCGAGTGACTCGCGAAACGGTCATGCATCGCTTTCTTCGAATTCTTGTGGAGTGAGCGTAAAAAGTAATTTATCGAGGTAGCGTGCTTCTGTCGATCGATTCTATTGTTCGCGGAGTTGGCTAATAAAATGCCAGCGATGTATGGCACGATCGACAGACAGTTTTATATGGATTGCGTTCTATTGTCTCGTATTTTTTTCCGTGATTACCTAGCAGTATCTACAGAAACGGGGATTTTAAATTATAACAGAGCAAACATACTTCGCTTGTTAAATTATGATGTCGTAAATAAGCCTTAGCTGTTGAGCGTGAGTCGATTGACCTATTTTTCCTTTTGTATCTGTGAACTGTACAGGCTCTTTAGTCGATTAGAAGTTGTAGCGACGGCTTTCATAGCTAATTAACGGGTGCCCTCTGTAATAAATTAAGCTCGATCCCCCTAGTTTAAAATCGACATAGCCGCTATAAGCCAGCTGAATTATTTTGATTTTTTATTTACTCTTCTCCGTGATGTTTCATCTTTTAACCGACTTCAAAATCGAAAAGGAGAAAGTTATGTTTGATGGTGATGTATGTTTTTAGTAATATTCACCGATTATTTCGCGTTTTCAAATTTTTTTTTTAATATACAGTCTATGGGCTCCGAGGAGGTCTCATATCTTTTTAGAATTTCACATTTATTTATATACCTAAATATCTGGTTTTATGTATTTCGCGAACAAAATAACCGAAATAGTTTCGCACAAATACCCTTATGTTAACAAAGATGACATAGTTATATCATTGAAGAAAGCAAAAGATAGATATATTTATTTGGATTATATATGTATAGCGAAACATATTAAACCTACAATGAGCGTCAGGGTACTTTTACTAGCGTTCTTACGGTTGGGCAAGGTTGGCACCTTCAATTCTCATTAACAATAAAAAATATTATTCAGTATAATACAATAAAAAATGAACTATTATTCATAAATTTATCCTTTCAAGATTGGCTCACAAAAGTATTATGGACGTTATTTCTATCCAGGAACATCATTTTTAGATAATATTAGTAAATTTAACAATCGTGTTACAATCACAAGTTTTAACTTGGTAGCCTATATACTTTTTCGTCTGTTTACGGATAAGCTGTATACGTTGGGTCGAACATCTCTAACGTGCGGATACTGGGTATAAGCAGCGAAGGTGATCTCGACTTAATAACCATCAAGGTCTCGAAAATTTTCATCACTTCCGTATACAATTACTTTACCCCCTGCCCCCTTACAATTACTTTTCCACTCCATGCATGAAGCTCCATTCTCATCCAGCAATCTGTCTAGGCGATTTTAATAGTAACCATATGGCCTGGGGATACACATGAAACAATCCCAGTGGCGAGGACCTCTTAGAGTGGAGCATGGAGGAGAATCTACGCCTGGTTTTTGATGCAAGGCAGTGGGGATTTTTGATCGGCGCGATGTGAAAAAAATTCAAGCCCGGATCAATGTTTTGTTTCCAAGGAAAAACATATCAACATGCTGCCTAATACGCCGTAGTTGGATACAGCTTTTAGATATTACATTTTCACGTTGGATTTACTGATAAGTTACTTTTTTAAATATATAATTTAAAAAACCACAATTTTCATTAGTTTACAATGTTATCTTTACTATATTATTAACCAATGACAAAGCATAGATTAATAAAAATTAGCTTTAGTGATTGCATGCTGTATATCGACAGCTATAACAACGAATGCTTCCTTCGCCTTCCTTATAGATCATATAGTACAAAAGTGGTAAACAAACATATATGGCGACAGTTCTTGTTATGGAATAAAAAATAAATAACATTTGTTTGTTATTTTGTAATTAAGTAACAAGAACTGTATCAATAAAGCTGCTATTGAAATGCTATAAAGCTCATAACAGGCGGTGAAGAAGCTATAATCTTTCAACTTATGATAACATATTTTAACATATTAATAATGAAAAATGTTTAAAAAGTCTTTTTGCCTGGCACTCTGTGATGCAGATCTGATCTTTTAAGCATTCTTTATTAAGAATATTTTTCATTGTAAATACAAAATTGATCAAATCATAATATTTTAATATTTTACTCTGTCACACACAGTTATGTTGAAATAATATTTTGAAACCCTTTATAAATATATATTTTTTTATCTTGTGATACTATCTTAACTTACCAAATATTATATTTCCGTACCGCTTAGCATCTTAATAAACTTAATATGAAAATGTTATTTTATCTTAGTTGTGTCTGTTGGTTCATTGGAATGTATGGCGAACGCTATTTTATTTTAAGATATAATATTATAGTATTTTCACAGTCTGTTACGAGTTTTAAACGTTAATGTTAGTGTAAATGAACCCAATATTATGTGTCAGAGAAATGCTTTAAGCGCAGTTCTTGCTGCTTTGGAGGGAAGGCTCTCCTCCGTCACCGGAGACTTATCCTACCCACCAAAACGTTATGCTCTTTGCTGGCGAATGAGACCTGGGAAGCCGTGATCAAGTCTCTTGAAGTTCTTCCTCATGGCCTGAGAGAGCGTAATTAAACTCCTGGATATACTCGGACTAACCAAAAATTCTAAGTAATTGTTTTTCTTAGATAATTTAATTCTTTGTACCTAACCTCTCACAAAAAAACCTAATGTACCTTAGTCTAATCTAATATATTCTCCAACGTTACATTTAGGTGTTTTAATTAATTAAATTAAGTATAAGTAATTAGAGAATACCTATATAGAGTGTTTTGTTAGCATAATGAACAACTTTGTAACAAATTAATGGACCAACTCAAAGCTTTGAAGGTGAACCACACACAAAGAGCACGCCTTGTGATGTACGTAGGTGAGTATAGCCTGATTTTGAATTATAATTAAGTTAGAAGTTTAGTTCAAAATTGATTGAAGTTATCATTCGATAAGGTTTCAAGCCTTCAAAATCGAAAAGGTCTACCTTTTCGATTCCCTTCCTTCTATTTTGTACGGGTATATTATATTTTTACCTATGTTCACCAATTTGTTTGAGGTATGTAGACCTATTTACAAAAGTCAAATTTTATAGGCCTGAGCTGGTTTTATTAAAACCGGATTTTTTATAACATAATAATTGGAAGCGTTGTGTCAAAAATAAAAAAAAAACTAATAATTTATATCACTGTATAAAACAAAGGATCGCGTATTATAATATTTTTTGTTGTTATTATTCAATTTGAAATTCCATTAAAATTACTAAAAGTGGGCTCTGAAAAAAGGATCATTGTTGCTACGTGCTACGATGCACTACGGATGTTATACTACGAAACTTTTAAATTTTCTAATTTTAAAGTTATAATAATGAATTAATTTATATGTATTTATTTCAATTCGTTCAAAAATTTTCTTTTAACTCAAAAACAAGGATCGTGTTTGATTTGAGTTGATTGCTCCTATTTTATTCTCATATTTAAAAAGACATGGTAACGATATTATTATTCGCATACATATTCGCATGCATTCTTAATCTAAATCGATGGATGTAGCAATAAAAATATCTAATATTATAGTCATAGTTTCTGAGATTCTAAGGATTTTCATCTACAGCATTGAGAATGGCGAATTGAGAGTAATTAAAAAACCGGTCAAACGCGAATACGACTCGTTTCCAAGGCATTATCTATCAAAAGTCACGTCTGTTGAATGGGAACTCTCCTTAATTTTTTATTTTATTCTATTTTACCCGACTACGGCGAAGCGAAAAGGAGGGTTATGATTTTGGCCGGTTTATATGTATGTAAGAATGTTCATCTGTCCCTTATGACTTTGAAACTATTTGAAGCGTCTTAGTGTCCGTATGCTATGGGCTATGTGACGTCACATTAAATTGAAGTATATATATGTATATATATACATTTAAGCAAAATCGCACGCAAAAGCATGAATAATAATAAGCACGAAAAATAATAGTCATGTACCTGAAAATTAATTAAATAAAAAACCTAGTTATATTTGTGTGTACACATTCTCTTAACTGGCAGTCAGAGTTAAGGTTTAAAATTAATTAAAGGTGCCTGTTGTATAACGCATACACTAAGCCGTGCCGCCAACAGTACGAGTATAATGACTAGTGTTTATTTCTAATGGAATCCCATTCAAATATTTATTTATATGGGATTCATTTAGAATTAAACAACGTTTTAATTAAAATGTCATTCTTCTGCAACCGATATGGAACATTACTTCCATATGGATTGCAAAAGTATGACAATTTGTAATAACTTGTGTAATAAACTACATAAAAAATAAAAATATATACCTGTAAGTATTTATGTTTCATACATACGTACAAAACATAGTGAATTCACACAGTCTAATATGACCTACCATTAGTGCGTTTATTATTAAAAACTATTGATTTTATGTCCAATAAAAATCCAATTAAGTACATGTAAATATTTTTCTAAAACGAGCCATTAAAGCCACTAAAGTAGTTAGTGAACATTATTTAATCGTATATTATCGTGTCATTTGAACGAAAACAAATTAAGTTTCAAACATACGAGAAAACTACTCATCTTCTATCTATATATAAATGAATAGGAAAATTTTTTTGTTTATTTACATCGAGCTCATTAATCAAAAACAATGAAAAATCTTAAAATACATACGTCAGACAAAAAATATAAATCATCACCCGCCAAAACGCAGTAAAGTTGTTTAATTAATATATGATCTTATTTTATCCAAAACCAATTCCACTATTGATAATTTCAGATTTCCTATCCATAAATACGTTTCGTATACCGAAATAGCATAACACGTAACACGCGCAGGGGACGGCGCATATTTCTCATCGCTACAATAATATTTTCCAGATATTTTGAATGGATATTAATGGGTTGACTATATAACAGTACTTGTGTTACTATTATAAAACTATATCGACTCATGGACGCGTAATGGTTGCTTATATTTTGTAAACACACATCTCAAGCTCAATGGCGCCGTGGTTAGCGGTTGCGGTGGTGAAAACTTAACCA